AAAACCCGAAGTGCCCAGCCCTAAATGGCACCGTTACTCCATCACAGTAAACAGTGTCGTTTTGCAACCGTGTGCACCATTGCACACGGTTGCACATCATAATTTGCGGTGTAGACCATGGTCCACACAAGTTGTATGGACCATATTTTGTATACTGTAAAATCATGTACATTCAATACAAAAATAATATACATTGTATTCAGGGGATGTACATTATTTCTGTACTGAGTGTACATTATATTGTATAATGTACATTCAGTACAAAAATAATGTACTTTTTGTTATGGTCCATATAACATTATGTGGATCATGGTCCACACAATAATTTGCCTCAAATTACTCAACAATTTGATTTATTTAATCTAATTGTGAGATAAAAAAGCAATCCTTGATTGGCCCCACGTCATATAGGTATTATATACCTTGATTCAGATTATGTATTTTCAGTTAACATATGTACATTCAATTATATAATTGAATATACATAATATATACTCGCACGGGTAGCTGAGTTAGTTCATGAATGATAGATTATAAGCAAATATACATAATATATTAACTAAAAGTATATAATAGAATATTTTGATAAGATACTGTGAAGAAAGGAAATGCTTAGAATGAGATTTTTTAGTTATCTATTATGATGTGTTTTAAATTTTAATTTTAATGCAAAATATTTTGAGATCATGAACCTAGACATAATAGCGGTATGATTCATTTTGGATATTTTTTTATATTATCTTAAAGATTTAATTATTAATTTGGAATAAATATCAAAGAAGGGAATAATCTGAGTCTCATATTCTCACCACAATTACACTGAAATTCTACCAAAATCTCGTCAAGATCATCAAAAAGATTGAAAGAACAAGCTATTTGAGCTCATAGGCTCTTCAACCCTCATGACATACTCAAGATTCAGTTATATATAATAATGAAAAATTGCTCTCAATTCACCTCTTTATTTTCAAAAAAAAAAAAAAAAAGAAGAGTTAATTCCTTTACCGAAATTATAATGAAACCTTGCTTTCAATTCACCTCAAGTAACTAAGAGTTGATTCTTTTATCCTTATTCTATTACACATCCATTCGAGAATTGTTTCAAGTTTAATTCCATTGATTTATGTTGAGATTATTTTTTACTATACACCAACAATAAAAATGAACATTTTCTTTGATTTATATATAAATCAATTGCTTTTATCAATTTTTTGTTCACAATACACTTTGATTAGAGCTATTAGACTATTAGAGCACTTGCTAATAACACCCTTGAATAAATTGATATATGAGTTTCAACATTCTTATAACACTACACGTTGAAATGTCGCATTATATTATATAAATAAATAAATAAATATAAATATAAAATAATAAATATTTATTTAATATCAATTGATGGTATTGGATGGATGTTATGATGTTACATTATAAGAATAAAAATATAATAAGTATAAATACTACATAGTCCATATCAATTGATGGCACGGGATGTTGATCTTGTGATCATAGACAAGAAACGACAGCGTTTACCTAGACTTTTCCCAAAATCCAATTGGATATAATTGAACCAGCTACTAACCCCGTTTAATTTATATTTTGAACATAAGGACCATACACTTTTTGTCCTTCACTCCTTCAAATATACTCTTCTCACTTATGGTGCCTCAATTGTCACAAGTGGCTTTTTTTATCAATTAATTGTCAGCAATGTGATTTTTTAACCGAATACTGATAAAACTCACAACGTCAACCAAAAAAAAAAATCACTTGACAAAAGGATGAAAAGTGACTACAAAAATAACTGGGGAATAGGAAGTGCTATTTCTCTCTAATTCGGGGACAAAAAATTTGCAATTTTTCCTCTAAATATTTTGAAGACAAGGGTGTGTTTGGATTCAAGGTTGAACTTATAAGATGAAAGACTTAGGAGGTGTTTGGTAAATAGTTGTTAGCTGATTGGGTTAGTGGGTTTGACTAATTGATAGCATTAGCTGATTGTAGAAAAGTATTTGGTAAATTAATTGTTAGCTGATAACTGATTACATGCAAAATAACTTTCTCAAAAAGCTTATCGAAAAAACTACTTTGAGCAGCTTTTTAAATTTGAAGCAATAAATTGTTACAAAAAACCAATTAATCAAACATCATATTGATTATTTAACCAAGTCAAACAGCTAACAGTGATCAAATAAGTCAAAATTGACTTATAAGCTAACTATGTTACTAAACTGGCTTTAGGAAAAAAAAGAAAAAGTTTACACCATAATTGAGAGACTAAAAATATTGTTCTCCCCCAATATTATGAAGACTAATGGTGTGTTTGGATTTAAGGTTGAACTACTATGATGGGCAAGATTATCCCTAGAGCAGTAAAGCCTATGTACTAATGGGCCTGGTTGGAATTACAAATTTGGGCTTAACCATAAGGCAGCAAGGGATTAGATTATAAATGGACAGTCCTTACATTGTAAGGATGAAACATCATGTCATTGGTCTTATGATGGACTTACAACATCAACTATTTTACATAAGATACTAGATGATGTCTAACAACTCAGAAAGCAACAAGAAAAGCAAGCAATTACATGTGCATTAAGAAGAAATCACAGAAAAATAGAGAGAGTTAAGTGCATTGGGAAGATTAGAGGACATGAAACCTTACAGGGATAAGAAGCCTCTTCAAAAGCAAAGTCAACCAGAATCCTTGTAAAATAAATTCAATCAAAAGGGCACGTCTTTGTCGGGAAGTTCCCAATTGTCGTCGTCTTCTTCCTCTTTTTTACCATCGCCATTGTTGTTTGCAGAGGCCATTCGCCTATCCTCAAAGGGACCTCTTCGTCTGTCACAACAAGATCAACCAAAACCTTCGTATTAACATAGAATACAATGTCACTCATAGTACAGTGAACACACTTAAAGCACAAAGCCTCAGAGCTTAAACATTGTAAATCAGGAATCAAACACTTGCGACCAGAAGGACACAAGTAGCATCTTTCATCGTTTGTCTGTCGAGAAACAGAGGTTTCACAGAACATCAATTACTGGAAATCTGGAATCCAGATTCCAACTTCCCATGTCCTGCTACAACAACCTCTCCAAACTTCTAATAGCACACAAAATCTGAATTGGAAGCCGCCTTTTCTCTACTTTGATATCACATTACCATGCATCCAAAGTATATGTTATGATTTAATTTTCAACCCACCCAAACTACTCTCGCCTCTTAACCTGCTAGAACCATCCACTTCTATACTATACTGATTTAGGCAGGTTTACCCCGTTTTCTATCACAAACTTGAAACAATTCATGCATTTGTAGTCTATCAGAGTCTCAGGGAATGAGAATCAAAACTTAAGCCTCTCATACAGTTTCAACCTATTCCTGTGGACTACAAGATCATTAACAAATTATCAGCGACCTTGGAAGCAAATGAATAACGTATCATTTGAACAAAAAATTATTCAACATTAAATTTTTAATTCAGAATATCACAGATTCGATTCTTCAATGCCACTATGAACAATACAAATCATTTAAATTTTACTATACATTGTTAAAATTTCATAACCTAATCTAAACAAGTTAACCTGTACAAGTAACTTGTATTTCAAACTGGTAATTAGGTTCTATAGAATCACAGAACAATATACAGTAATATAATCTTAAGTAGTCAGAAACAGTTGAATGAATCGATTATCCATAAAATTAAATCTAATCCACACGGAAAATGCGTGTTTGTGTGGTTAAAATGAAGTCTGCACTGAACTAGGAAACATGTTTCTCAATCAAAATTGAAAGAACAAAATAGTGTTACCGTCGACGATTGCGCCTGGCGGCTTCACGGGACTTGCGCTTCTTCTCCTCCTGCTTGTTCTCGAAGTATCGCCTGCGCTTGCACTCTTGAATCAGTCCGGTTTTCATCACCTCTCTGCGGAAGCGGTTGAGCAACCGCTCCTCCGGCTCGTCCCCATCCACAATGAGCTCGACGTTGTAGGAAGAGAAGAAGAGGGTGTTGGCGTGCGCCAGAGACGGGCAGACGACGGACATGAGCTCGGAATTGCCGGATAGCGGCGATGGATACTGCTGTTGGTTATCGGCGGTTTTCACTAGCGGGGCCCAACCATCGTTGTGGCTTTTCGAGATAGAAGAGGAATAGTCGGAGGAGAGAGACAGCTGAAGCGGAGGAGCTTTAGGGGATGGCGGTTTGGAGGGGGAGAAGAAGGAGAAGAGAGTGGCTATGGAAGATGCAGCCATTTCTGAAAACTGGAAATGGCTAGAGGCTCTGTGTGGATGAGCCCTTTTCTTCTTCTTTTGTTTTGGATAGATACTCTGATACTAGATAGGGAGACTACAATTTCACTCTACCGAGTGAACTCTGTATAGTCTGTACACAAAATAAGATATAATATTCATTTTTATAAACATTTTCAATTGTTAAACCAAATTTAAGGGCCTTTCGTTCACAGAATCTTAGATTACCTGAATTACTTCCAGGAAGGTAATGTGAAATTTTAAGAATATAAGATTAATTTATGTGTTTAGTATGAATTGTGGAATATAATATTACATTGTTTTGTTAAGGATTATATTTTAAGTTATATACATCAATTTACTATAATATCCTCATATATATATATAATTTATATATGCGTGTATTTATTTATTTATATATATGAATGTATATCAATGCTTAAATTAAAAAAAAAAAAAAACAACTAAATATATAAATATACACACATGTATATTTGATTTTTTTTGAAAACTATATTTGATTATATAAACATATATTTGTTTCATTATTATTATTAATATTATTATTATTATTATGAGAAAATTTCAATTTTGGTCACATGATTGTAGGGGCTTTGTTAATTTCAACATCTAACTTTCCATAGTGTTAATTTAGTACCTTAAGTATTTAATTTTTGTCAATTTTGGTCACTCCGGTCAAATTATTGGTCAAATTTGGCCGAAAAAATTTAATTCAACATTTAGTCTAAAATCTGAGGGGCAAAATGGTCTTTTCTATCCTTTCTCCTAATTGGTGTTGACCCGGTTTAGACACATTTGACCCTGGTTCGACTTTAGCTTTCCTCTCAATCTGCAAAATCAATTTGGTTGATGAAGCTAAATAATTGAGGTTTATAACTGTTGGTTGCGCCGCCCATGCGAAATATGGGTAGACGTCGAAGAAGAAGAAAGAATTGGTCCGGTCCAGGAACTGTAACAACCGTTTGAAAACCGAAACGATGATGTCCGACAGGAAAGCCCCGCTGGACGGCGGATAAGACGCCTCCAACATATCCATGGCTAACGGAGTCCCCACCTTGATCTTTCTCAGCCCGAATTTCTTAATGAATCGTCGGATTTTCCGCATCGCCGGCACGAGCTGAAACCACGTGGTGTTCAGCGGGTTGCTAAAGATTTCGTTCCCGACGAGGAGGTAACGGATCTTCGTCTCGCTGTAAAACGAGACCACATTGGTCTCCACCCACCGGTCCGCTAAAGCTTGGTCAAAGGAAATGTTGGGGATAATCTCGTTGGGAACCATGACCGAGACTTGAACGTCGGAGTTCCCGAGAGCTCTGAGGATTTTCAGGTTTGCATCGTAGATCTTGACCCGCTTCGCCTTTAAGCCATGGATCAGCTCTGCATATTGTGATGGTGTGGGAAGGTTGTTGCCTAGTTGACCGTAGCATATTCCGACCTTAGCTGGGATATCTGCGCCTGAAATCAACCGGGGGGAAAAAAAAGACAACAACAACGTCAGCTTGATCGAACCAAATCACTCTGGACTGGGTCAACACCAATTAGGAGAAAAGATAGAAAAGACCATTTTGGCCCTCAGATTTTAGACTAAATGTTGGATTAAATTTTTCCAGCCAAATTTGGTCGGCAATTTGGATGGAGTGACCAAAATTGACAAAAATTACATTACCGAAAATCACATTACCTTGAAACATTAGTGCCACATCAGCTTTCAGGTAATATAACATTATCAGGTAATCTCATATTCTCATTACTTGAACCAAACAAGATAATATAACATTACCAAACTCAGATTATCTAGGTAATATAAGATGACCTGAACCAAACGCCCCCTATACTATATTATACTTCAAAAGTTAATACCATTTAAATTTATTAATTCAAATGGGCAAAAGAGTGAAATACTCTTTGAATTGAGAAATAACATTCATTTTTTTCTAGATTTGAATAAACATTAGTTTTAGTTCATATTAACATCCCAATAAAATATGAAATAACAAATTACAGGACAACATGATGAGAGTGAGAGTATTAAAATTCAGTAAACATTTAAGGCTCGGAAAATGACTTCTGGAAAATATTTTCTGGAAAATAAGTATTTTTTCAGAAAATATTTTCCTTTCTAGTGTTTGGCTACACAACGGAAAATTGTCTTTGTGTGTTTGGTTCATTTTCCAAAAAAATGAGTAGGAAAATGAAAAAATTGAATACTTCAAAATTTTAATTATTTGATACTTTTGATAAGATCCTTTTGTGAATATCACTCTTATATATATATATATATATATATATATATATATATATATATATATATATATATATATATATATATATATATATATATATATATATATATATAATTAACATTTTAAAAAATGTAATTTTTTTTTAATTTTTAAATATGAAAAAATTAATATTATTTGTAGACTTTACTTATTTTTTTGAACTTTGAATTCAAAAAAAAAAAATCGAGGATCGGCCCGGCCCGTCAACTCGCATGGAGCGGGCTTTGGTTTCATGAACCCTAGCTTGCGGGTTTGGTGGGCCGACTCACAAAAGCCCGCAAAAAATTAGGCCCGGGCATACATATTTTCCTTTGACTATTCCATTGACCTCATTTTCCCCCTCTTGCCAAACACTGACAACTCGGAAAACATTTTCCGGAAGTTATTTTCTGGGTTTTCAAACACACCCTTAATTTACCAATGGAACCAATAAATTTTGGCAATATTTTGAAACTTTACTCTCATGCTACTAGCCATGTTTCTAAGAACTACATCCTCATTATTCAAATTTCTTTTCAACAAAAGCTCAATTTTCCATACTTGCATGAAGTATAAGTTGGAAGTAGGATAAGTTGAACCCGAAATCAATTTTGTAATTTCATTAAAAGGCATCAAAAATTCACAAATCTTTTCACCCCTAGCCCACTCCTCATTTGAAGGACAATGCTTATAATGAGTGTCAAGCAAGTGAAGACTACTAAAACCACGCCGGTACTTAATAGCACTATCAAGCATCTTATAAGTTGAGTTCCATCTAGTGGGCACAACTAACTGTCTCAACACATTCTTCAAACACTTTCATCCTCCCCTCCGACCATTTAACATATTTCACACTATCTCGAATTTTATTCAAAGCATCACCCACCACTTTCAACCCATCTTGCACAATAAGATTCAATATATGTGCAGAACATCTCACATGAAAAAATTTCCCATTACACAACAAATCCTTTTGTAAACATAGTTGTCCTTTCAAGATATTTTGCATAGTATCGTTAGCAGAAACATTATCCAAAGTAAGAGAAAACAATTTTTTCTCTATTCCCCACTCTTTTAAACATTCTAGAAGCTTCTTAGCTAACTGAACACCAGTATGTGGGGGAGGCATAGCACAAAAGGATAATATTTTATTGTTTAACTTCCAATTACTATCAATATAATGAGCAGTTAAACAAATATATCCCTCAACTGTGCATGCTGTCCAAAGATTAGAAGTCAAACAAATTCTACTAGGAATTCTTTTCAAGTTACTCTTTAGTTTCTCTTTTTCCTTCTCATAAAACTTATAAACATCTGCTACTGCTGTATTCCTACTTATGAATTTGTAATCAGAATTCAAATACTTGTGCAACTCTCTAATTATCTTATATTCAACAAAAGAATACGGCAAATCATGTTCAATAATGCTCATGCTTATCATTTCACGGACCACATTATGATCAATTTTTTGGCATGCAACTTTCCTTCATGATCAATTAACATGGAACCCACATCATTATATTTATGCTTTACTTTACAAGAAGCTAAATGACGGGATAAAGTTGATGTTCCATATTGGTGTGATCCCATCATATAATCTTTATGACAATATTTGCATTTAGCTCTTTGTTTATCACCAATTTCAATTACATCAAAATGATTCCACACATATGAAGTTTGACGTCTTTTCTTACCTCTTTTTTGTGATTCTAAATTTTCAGCTTGTTCTGAAGGTTTAGGTGAAACCGGTCTGTCCCCCGGCATATTAACTTCACAATCAACATTGATATAAGTGTTTGGAGAACTTTGCTGTTGAGAATCCATCTCCCTGCCATTAAAAAATATTAAAACAATGTTAACTCAATGAGCTCTATTTAACATGCTAATTTAACACAACTCTATTTAACAGTGTTGAAGCATGTTAATTTAACATTCCTCTATTTGGGGGTAATTCAATTTCCCTAGTCCTAAAGATAATATGATATCATATAAAAACTTTCAATATAAACTGGAAATTTGAGCCACAACTATTTTGAATATATCTAGAGGCTTGCTTGTAAGCTGTAAGCAATATATAGGAAATTGACTTCAACCCTTAACTATTATATACGAAAAAATTAAATATTAGCTAGAACTAGAAGTGTTCAATTTTTATTTGAATTATAAACTTTTCTATACTTTCAAAAATTATCAGACAAATCCCAGGACAACTTACCCGAAACTCGAAGACTGACTCGGAGAAGAAGAAGAAATCAAATTAGTGGTGGACGGTGGCGATCGGCGAGGACGTATGGTCGGCCGGTGATGGGTGAACGGCGGTGGGCGATTGGGCGGTGTTCAGTGTTCTGGCCTCTGGGTTCGCGAATCGCAGAGAAGAGACGTGAGGTCTGTAAGTCTGTTTTTTTAATTAGAAATTATTTAGAAATTAGAATATATAAAGGAGTAAGGGGCGTAGGGTATAGGGTTTATTCTGATTTCTACTCAAAAAAGAATTAAAGGTTCAAGTTTTTTTTTTTTAAGGCTCGGCCTGCGGGCTGGCCCGCAACCCACGAGGGTTTGCCTGCGCGGGCCGAGCCCGTTAGGCCCGCATTTTTGAGGGCCAGTTTTTTTAAAGCCCTAACCCGCCCCGTAGTGGGGCGGGTGCGGGCCAACTCGTGGGTTTTAGCCCACTTTGACAGCCCTAGTGGTACCCCACAATAGGCATTTTTTGTTAAAGTATAGGGCTCATATTAATGTTAAATGGTGCAATCAGTCTCGTCCAATCAAGTATTTGTTCAAGTATGTGAACAAGGGTCACAACAGAGTTTTATAGAACAAACAATGACAAAGAGGGACAGCAAGTTATTGATGAAATCAGTATGTACTATGATTGTAGGTACATATCGCCGTGTGAAGCTCCATGGCGGTTGTTCGGTTTTGATATACAATTTAGGACACCATCAGTGGAACGATTAAGCTTTCACTTGCCGAATCAACAAAGTGTTGTTTCGCAGACGATGATCCTGTTGATAACATACTCAGTCGACCTACAATCTTACAAAGCATGTTCCTACAATGGTTCGAAGCAAATAAAACCTACCCGGAAGCAAGGAAGCTCACATATGCTGAAATGCCAACGAAATTTGTATGGAAGAAAGATATTAGAAAATGGCAGCCAAAGAAAAGAGGATTTTCAATCGGTAGAGTATTCTATGTACCTCCGGGGTCAGGGGAGATCTTTTATTTGAGGTGTCTTTTGAATAAAGTGAAAGGTCCAACAAGTTATTTAGATATAAAAACAGTGGATGGCGTCCAATATGAATCTTTTAGGGATGCATGTTGTGCAAGAGGATTAGTTGATGATGACAGGGAATATGTTCATGCTATAGAAGAAGCAAGTCATTGGGCCACAGCGGTGCATTTGAGAAGATTGTTTGTAACTCTATTGATTTCAAACTCAATAGCCAAACCAGAGGTTGTGTGGGAAGCTGCTTGGATTCATTTGTCCGACGATGCACAATTCAAGATTAGAGAACAATTGGAAATTACATGTATTCTATTCTCTTCATATTACTGCTAAAAATAATTTTTATAAACAAACTTCTTATATGTGTTAATAATATTGTCATAGATTTGATTATATCTGAAGATGAGAAGAAGAATTTTGCACTTATCGAGATAGAAATAATGCTTTCAGCTATGGGAAAGAGTTTGAAAGACTTTCAGTCCATGCCGATACCAGATTTAGTTAATCATTCTAGAACAACCAATCGGTTGATCATGGAGGAATTAGCATATGAGATTAATGTCATGAAGGAAGAGAATGATACTTTGGTGGAGAAACTAACTGAAGAGCAAAGAACAATATATGACAACGTATTACAAGATGCTGAGAATAATCTTGGAGGACTTTTTTTTTTTGTTTATGGATACGGTGGAACGGGAAAAACTTTCTTGTGGAGAGCGTTGTCTTCTGCTATAAGGTCAAAAGGCGAGATAGTTTTAAACGTTGCATCAAGTGGTATAGCTTCTCTTCTATTACCTGGCGGAAGAACTGCACATTCAAGGTTTGCAATACCAATCGCTGTTAATGAAGATTCAACTTGCAATATAAGCCAAAACAGTCCTTTGGCACAGTTGATCATGCAAAGTAGGTTGATCATTTGGGACGAGGCACCAATGATGCATAAACTTTGCTTTGAAGCTTTGGACCGATCTATGAGAGATATAATGCGTGCCAAAAATCCAAACAGCTTTGATATGACTTTTGGTGGAAAAACCGTCGTGTTAGGTGGAGATTTCCGACAGATTCTACCAGTAGTTCCAAAGGGCACGGGCAAGATATCATCCTATCTTTGGAGAAGCTGTAAGGTTTTTAGGTTAACAAAGAATCTATGGCTTAGGGCTTTGAAATCAGATAGTGAAGTTCAAGAGATTGAGGATTTTGCAAATTGGATTGCTAAGATAGGTGATGGAACAATTGGTGATTCAATGGATGGAGAATCTGAGATAAATATTCCTGAACAATTTTAGCTCACGTGTGGGTTGGATCCCATTGCTACAATTGTTGATAGCACATTCCCAATGTTTCGCAGTGGCAACAGAGATCATGGATATCTAAAAGATCGTGCGATCTTGGCGCCAACTTTGGATGTTGTAGATACAATAAATGAATACATGAATGACTATAACAATGCTGCAGGAAGGACGTATCTCAGTTGTGATTCAGTATGCAAATATGATTTGAATGTTGACATGCTTGCTGATCTGCACACCCCGGAATTTTTAAATGGCTTACGATGTTCTGGAGTTCCAAATCACTCTTTGACTCTAAAAGTTGGCTCGCCAATTATGCTTTTGAGAAATATTGATCACTCATTGGGATTGTGCAATGGTACAAGGATGATTATTTCAATGTTGGTTGATCATATTATAGAAGGGTGATTATTTCAATGTTGGTTGATCATATTATAGAAGCTAAGATACTATCCGGATCAAGTGCTGGTACAAAAGTTTTAATTCCAAGGATGTCATTAACACCTTCAGATCCAAGATTGCCTTTTAAGTTCCAAAGAAAGCAATTTCCGCTAGTGTTGTCATATGCCATGAAAATAAATAAAAGCCAGAGGCAAACACTTTCAAATGTAGGTTTGTTTTTGAAGATACCGGTTTTTAATCATGGTCAAATGTATGTAGCATTGTCAAGAGTTAATAATCCTAAGGGATTAAAAATACTCATTTATGACGAAAATGTACAATATAAAAATACGACAACAAATGTCGTGTATAAAGAAGTATTCAATAATGTCTAATACACTGGAAATGTTTTGCATGACTGGTTTTTTTTATACGATAATATATATTATATTGATTACATATATGGCTGTGCATCGCACGGGTGGAACTACTAGTTCTAAATTAAAGAAATGCATATGTATTATTTTTTGTTGTAGCTACTAAATTATTATTTAATTTAATAAGAGTAAAATAGAGTACTAATTATGCCAATTTTGATTGGGATGTGGTTCGAACCTAAGACATTTCTTATTGAAATCAATTAGTAAGTTAACGGTGAACTAACAGAAATTAACGGAAAATATAATATTTAACGAAAAAGCCAGAGGCAAACAATTGAACATCGAAGTGCAAGTAAAATGTATTATAACTGCATGTAAAATGTATTATAGGTGCAAGTAAAAATTTACTCTGAGCATCACTACTAAGTGCACCTATAGGCCTAACTCTCTTGGGCTCTTTTATATATATATATATATATATATATATATATATATATATATATATATATATATATATATATATATATATATATATATATATATATATATAGAATTGCACTCATGTGCGAATGCTTCGCCCGGGCGCGAAATAGGAATGGATTCTGTCGGTCCACGTGTCCAGATCTAATGGATGAGAAACACTGATTTTACAACTGAACATCGAAGTGCAAGTAAAATGTATTACAACTGCATGTAAAATGTATTATAGGTGCAAGTAAAATTTACTCTGAGCATCAATACTAAGTGCACCTATAGTTATAAGTAGTTACAACTATAGTTCTAAGTAGTTGCACACATAGTTATAAGTAGTTGCACCTAGGTGCATGAATGTTTGCGAGTGGTTTTCTGGGATATTACTACCTGCTGAACTCAGACCAATGAATGTTAACAAGGCAAAATTACATGCACTTATAGGTGAAAGTAGGTGCACCTATAGTTATAAGTAGTTGCACCTATAGTTATAAATAGTTGTACCTATTGTTATAAGCACACCCAGGTGCATGAATGTCTGCGCGAAGTGAATACTAACAAGACAAAATTACTTATAGGTGAAAGTAGGTGCACTTGTAAGTTATTGTACTTGCACTTCGATGTTCAATTATTTATGAAAATGCCACCGCATTTTTTTTTAAGTTATTAGATCTGGACACGTGTCGCGAGCTGATTCGTTCGCATATTCCTTCCTGGACATTTATTCGCACCTGAGTGCATCCCTATATATATATATATATATATTATCATACATTGACATCTTTCTTAAAGTGTGATGTAAATATAGTGACCATTATGTCAACTTTTTTTTACCACCTTGTTTACCTAGTCTGCCAGCAAAACTTCAACAAATTCTTTTTACTTATGGTATTGCCTTGCCGTACCTAAATTTCTCTAGATTTGTTTTTTCAGTTGTATTATTTTTAGAAAATAATAAAATTACGATCAATAATGAAAAAAAAAAAAACGGAATTAAATTATACTCATAGATAAATAGGAAGTAAAACACGAGGCCAACGAGGGTAGCATTGTAATTTAAGTAAGTGAAGGTGTATTGCCAAAAGGAGCCGTCCGCAACTGTGCAGCAGATAGAAGAAGAAATGGCGGGAAAGCAATCGAGTTTGGAGACGAAGCAGCAGAAAATGGAGGAAGAGAAGTCGGAAGTATGGTGGAGAAAGGAAGTGGATACCAACCTGAAGAGGCTCCACTCTTTTGTCTTTGGAGCCGAGCAGGCGAGAGAGAGAGGGGACTTCAGCTCCGCACAAGTACTAGCGATGGGGCTCGTCGGTTTTCTCGATTCCCACTCTCATTCCGACACCGACCGGGCTTTCGTTCGCCCTATCCGATGCGAAGCCTTATCGAACCTCGATTCCGCTCGCCGCTCCTTAATTCCTGAGTCCGATCGGTATAGATTCATTCAATATTTTTGCTGATTACATGTTTTTTAACTTATTTATGTCTGCATAGTTGCTTTTAAGTCCCAATGGGAATGTAATTTCACTAGATTTTTTTTTTACATCTTTTAGTTTATTTGATTTATAACTCGATGCGCGTTGGTTTGACCTGCTTGTTTATTTATAACTGATATTGGAGGCATACCTGTATAGATTTTCAGTTTTGAGGAGAAAATAATTAAACTGTAAAGTCAATTGTAGGCTTGTTCTTGGGAAAATTTGAATTTAACTAGTTTGTTGTGTAAATTAACAAGGAATGCATGTTTATTAATGTGGAGAGTTGTGTGTCTGCTTATTGAATAATATGTAAGGAGAGGCCTATTATTCTGCTAACCTATTGAAGGCTTTCTTTGGAGTGTTGGCATTCATTAGACTTAGCACGGCATCTTCATGTATGTTAAGTATGTCTCATAAGGAATAGGAATATAGCGGATTGGGTCGAGCCCGTAGTACAGGGATATTTTTGTACTTGTAAATGTTTAGAGTTGCATATAAATATGATTGCTTGTAACCCTGGATGTTTGATCACCACCATCACAATTAATAAAGAACAGTTTCACTCTTGTAGATGTAGACATGAACCACGTAAATCTTGTCTTCCTTACTTTTTGACATTGTTATTGTTTCTGGTTCTTGTTAATCTCAACAATGTAACTGATTTGTGTTGATATCATTTCTGAAATTCATTGCTTTAGCTAACGTTTACTGGACAATTACTGAACTGCTCAGTTTACCTTCAGCCTAGCTTTTGAACAGGCAGGTAGAGATCCGGGCTGCATATTTACCAAGAAAGGAGGCATTGACGTTGATAAGATTAAACAATCAAAGTACTTTCAAACCCTCGTTCAACAATCTGAGGGAATAACTTGTCATAAAACGGTATATAGCAAATTGTACTTCATTTCATGTTTGTTGAGTGAACTACTTAACAATAATTCCTTTTCCCATTAGGTTTTTATTTTCTCTTTTGCTGGTACCTGACCTCTAACCGGAACACCCTCATAATTTATTTCATTTTAATGGAAATTCATGCAATTTCTCACAGGCAGATAAACTTACTAGGCGGGAGAATCTGACTAGCAAGAACTCAAAATCACCAGTACTGACAAATTATGGAGATGTCTCCAGGTATAACCATAAGAGATCTGAAAAAGATAATAGTCCAGATATCTGCTTGATAGAAAAGGTTCATTCAAATTATGACTCCAAGGATCGTGGTGCCACCATGGAGATTGAAGATGAAGATGCAGAAAGAACTTTTGGGAATAGTCCCAAAATGAAACGGCTCCACAAGGAAACCATTGGGCAAAGAAACAAGAATGTGAAATCCCCCTTGTGCAATGAAGGAGCTGATGCTGATTCTCCTTGCAATGGATTTGTTACTGCTAGAGCAAAATTGGTACTCATTTGATTTCACTGAGCAGTATTTTTACATGTTGTCACCATTATCTTTCTCTGAGATATCTGTTTCATGGCTTCTCTTTCTCTCTACCTCTCTCTCTTTGTTTGCATTTCTTAATAACAAGATTTTATTTTATTTTTTCCATTTATTTGTTTAGTGTCTATATATGTCTCCCATATCTAACTCTTGGAAGGCAGGGTTGCTTCTTATATGTGAACCCAAGATAGATGCATTGAAAATTCTTTGCCAACAGAAAATACTCTGGTTGCACATTCTCATATTAGTATTTTCCATTACTAGATGAAGTACAAGTGTGTGCTGAATTTATTTTCTTCATTTATTGAATTGTCATTCTTGAAGATCTCTAAGATGTTTAAATTCCTGAGATGCAGTGATAATTCATTGCCAAAAGAAAATGCACTGATTGTATGTTCTAATACTAGTATTTGAAATTTCTAATGACCTTCAAGTGTGTGCTGACTTTATTTGCTTTATTTATAAAATTCTTACTCCTGAGGATTTCTTAGAGGTTTAAATTCCTCAGTGACTTAATATGATAGGAAATGGATGTGAGGCAAAGACGAGGATTAAATGGTTCTCCTAGTGCTACAGATTCTCCACAGAGTGATAACACTATGGCAAACAAAAGCTATGGAGTCCGGCCTTATGGGTTTCCACGCCGTGGTGTTCGAGGTAATTTTGTTCCTCCAATCAGAGGGAGTGGGAATAATGGTGGTAATGTGACTTCACGCAATGCCGGGAAAGGTGAAGATGCGTTAGAGGACTCAACACGGAGATGGTTAGTTGACTTCTCTATGTGAATTCTCTAGACTCATAAGGAGAGGGAAAAAAAAGGAGAGGAACCGATTATGCTTTATTGCCCATATCTAATGCATAACTTTTCCTATTTCCACACTGTTAAGTTTGGAAATGCTTTGTGGTCCTGATGGTGAGCTTCCTGAGAAATTGAGGAATCTAGAGCCTAGACTTATTGAACATGTCAGCAATGAGATTATGGATCGGGATCCCAATGTTAGGTGGAATGACATTGGTAAGATTATGATGAATATCATCCTTCTTTTGCTGATCAATTTCTAATTCTCTATCCTCACCTAGCTTTCTTCTTCTTTCCTCTATAGCTGGGTTGGAGCATGCTAAGAAAGTTGTGAATGAGATGGTCATCTATCCATTGATGCGCCCCGACTTATTCAGTGGATGCCGTTCCCCAGGCCGTGGCCTTCTTCTGTTTGGTCCACCTGTATGTCCATAGTCCACGTACTGAAAAGATACAGATCAAAGACAATTGAGTTGTTTAATGTTACATCTTTCATGCATCAGGGAACTGGTAAAACTATGATAGGGAAAGCTATTGCCGGAGAGGCTAAAGCAACATTCTTTTACATATCTGCCAGTTCTTTAACAAGCAAATGGGTATGTATATTCTTTATCATCAGATTGTTAAGAATCCTATATCTTGGGAAAAAGAATAAAGAAAAAAAAAACAAAGATTTTTTACTTTTACAAAATCATTGATTGACATTCATTGCTGTAGATTGGTGAGGGAGAAAAGTTAGTGAGGGCACTATTTGGAGTTGCCAGTTGTCGTAAACCTGCTGTCATATTCGTTGATGAAATCGATTCTCTGCTTTCTCAGGTATGTAGGTTCTGTCCAATGAAAAGATAAACATATATTTGCAAAAAAAAGAAGATAAACATATCTGCTGTTTCTACTGGGTAACAAATGTGGGCTATTAAGAATGAGCTTTGGAGAATTGCGTCTTTCTTTCTGTTTTAAAGTGGAAATAGTGCATTTCCTGCTTGTACTAAGTATAATCCAAGAAGTTATTGTACATTTCAGCTAAATAATAAAGATTGAAACTCCTAGAATCCATGCTCAAATTTTGATGACAGAATACAGTTGGTGTGAATTTGAGAACAGTAGTGCTGTTTACTAATCCATCTGGAACGAGCTTTGTAGTCCAGGGTTTGAACCATATTACTATGTACCACATGCTAAGAGAAGGATCCTGCTAAGACCTTTTTTTGTGGTGGTTGTAGCGCAAATCGGAAGGTGAACATGAATCAAGTAGGCGGCTGAAGACACAGTTCCTTATTGAGATGGAGGGCTTTGACAGTGGTAGTGAGCAAATTCTGCTTATAGGTGATTTCTCTACTACTGAAATTGTTGCACACTATGTATGCATTTACAATCTAAACATGTGCTGAAGGAAGCATTCAAGGCTGCTGATTTATGTGTAATCTAATAACAGTATAAGTAATTACGCAGCATTGTTCCATCATAATGGATTCATATTAAGACAGTTGGTGCATTGAATTGATTCTTGTGTTGGTAGTGCAGGTGCAACTAATAGACCACAAGAGCTTGATGAGGCTGCAAGGAGGAGACTTACTAAGAGACTCTATATTCCACTCCCTTCCTCAGGTGTGACTACTTGCAGTCATTTATTCCCTGTTTGTTTTTACAGCAGGGAGCTACTGCATATAATATGTTGCTAACATATTGTATTGTGAAAATAAAGAAGCAAGAGCATGGATAATCCAGAATCTGTTGGAGAAGGATGGATTATTTAATCTTTCGAAAGAGGAGATTGAAACTGTATGCAAATTAACTGAAGGTTTGTGCAGTGCACGTAATTACAATTAATTTATTTCGTGTCTTGGTTTGTTGGCTCATGTTCCTTATTTTATTTTTTTTAAAAAAAAAATTGGTTGATTATTAGGGTATTCTGGATCTGACATGAAGAACTTAGTAAAGGATGCATCAATGGGGCCACTTAGAGAGGTTCTTCAGCAGGGCGTTGAAATCACAAAGCTAAGGAATGAGGACATAAGGGGTGTTTCTCTTCAGGTGATTTTCTTTTCTAAAATACAAAGGATATGATGATGCAATTTGATTGCTTTCCATTCCATTCCAGTTTGATTTGCAATTGTGGGTTTGCATTTGTTTGTTTGTTTGTTTGTTAGGACTTCAAGAATTCGTTACAAGAGGTAAGGCCTTCGGTATCATTGAATGAACTGGGCACATACGAGGATTGGAACAAACAGTTTGGAAGCTTATCACTCTAGGAGTAGGAGAAGGAGAAGGAGAAGGAGAGATGTTCAGATGTTTATGGAATGTTGCCAAATGCCAATCAAAACCTTACATCATAGTGATTGGTATGGTGGAGTACAGTTGATTATTGCCGCTGAAACATAAACACCTACGTACAAAATGATCAGCCCGCGTTGTGTGGTTGTGCTACCACAAAAATATAATGGTGACACTGTTAACAAATTTCAGAAGACGAAGCTGTGTGTGAATTGAATTTGCTGCAACTTAGCTTTAATAATAGTATTCAACACTTAATATTAATATTTTACCTAAACTCATGTTTATACCACTACTTCCATCTGTATGACTGTATACAATATATATATATATATATATATATATATATATATATATATATATATATATATATATAGTATGGAGTAGTTTTTAACTAATTATACTTATTAATTCATATTCAATGGAAGTGAAAACTTCTTCACATAAACAAGATGATGTGGAAAGAAGGATGACAATATTTATGCAGACCCAACAAAATATTTTGCGCTTTGTCCTTTAAAAACTTCTTATTATAATATTTTAAATAGTGCAACGTATTGTATTGCAAGAGAGTGACAAATAAGTCGGGCAAATTATATCGTGCACCGCGGTGTATAATGGATTATGCACCGAGCTTCTAAATGATGCCGATGTCGTTTTGTTTAATGAAAAGAAACGGCACCCGTTTCGCACCATTCCGCAAAAAGTAACTCTTTTATTCAGTTTCATTTTGTATACACTGCAGTTTCATTTCGATATAATTACAGAATATAACTACAGTTTCATTCGATATTATAACAATCAAATATGTGAAAATGTTATTTTATTTTATATACATCATAGTTTCATTAAAACACAACTGCATGATCATTTCGATATAACTACAGTTTCATTGCACAAATATACACTCAAATATGTGAAATATTATTCAGTTTCATTTTATATACACTGTAGTTTCATTTCAACACAACTACAGTATCATTTTGATATAACTACAGTTTTGCTGGGCAATATATATACACTCAAATATGTGAAATTGTTATTCAGTTTCATTTTGTATACACTGCAGTTTCATTTCAACACAACTACAGTTTCATTTTGATGGGGAATATACCCCGGGTTCAGACTCTCCGTGCTTCAGTTTAGGTCGGGGTCAAACGGTTCCGGTCAAAGTTAGCAGGTCAACCCTTGGCCTATATAAGGGCCATTGATCCTCCATTTTAGGAGTGCTTCCCTTCACTTCTACCATGCATTCTCTCTCTACATTGAAACTCTCTCCCCTCTCCCTACAAGCATAAAAGAGCAATTATGAATAAAAGAGAACTCTTGAGCTATTTTTCCTCTTGTATATATCTTTGTTCATACATACATTCTAGATACACACGGAAATTAACCGCGACGAGAAGCCGTGTTCCTATAATTTTTCAATTCCGACTTCTCTACTACTACGTATGTTTTACCATCGGATCTCATCTTTGTTAGGATCGAAACGGGTTCACAATACAAATTTACAATAGCAACTTGAACTGGAAATATTGAGAATAAATTCTAGTGTAAGATTTAAAATAAATCATACACAGAACAAGGCAATTTGAAGAAGAATTGCAAAAGGATAATACAATAGGAATTACAAATATAACTCTCTATTTTTTTTCTACTGAATTTTGCTATACTCTCTGTATATTTCGAATGAGATGGAATGGGATGGGATGATATGATGAATGAAGGATGTTGCCTTATTTATAGAAATCCATGAGTCTAGAATTTTCCAAGCTAGAACCCATGTGCCTATAATGCTATTTCTTTCCCTGCAAGTTTTTTTCAAAACTTATGCTCAGAACTGGCTCCTTAGGCAAACCTCCTCCCAAGTCCCTTAGGAAACCTTCTCCCAAGTTCCTTAGGAAATCTCCACCCAAGTCCCTTAGGAAAACCTCCTCCCAAGTTCCTTAGGAAATCTCCTCCCAAATTCCTTTAGGAAATCTCCTCCCAAAATCATCCCAGGCAAAAACCTCTGCCCATTCCACATTCTGACTTTAATATTTACAATCTTCACCATCAGAAGCTCATCACCACTCTTGGTCAAGCCACCACAACCGCTACCTGCTGGTTGCTCTAGTTGCTGTAACTTTCCAATGGTCATTCCATGGAAGCAATCCAAGGTCCATCGCTGCTGTCACTGTCATCTCAGTCGTTGTGGGCATGCGAAGGAGGAGCAATCCAAAGTTCATCGCTGCCGTCACCCGGTCACTGTCATCTCAGTAGTTGTGGGTATGCGAAGGAGGAGCAATCCAAAGTTCATCGCTGCCGTCACCCGGTCACTGTCATCTCAATCAGTATCTTTTCCTATTTTATCTTCTCAATCTGTGGTATGATTTCTTGTGCTATTGTTTCAAATTTATAGATGTTTGAAACCGTGTCTATTTGTTGAGTTTCTGAGTCTCACTTATCTATCACTAAAATATAGTGTGGTTTCTTTGTCTGAAATTATGAATTTATCTACATCTGGCTCATATCTGAAATCGTGTAAAGCATTGTCTTTACCATTTTTTGAGTCAATCTGAGATTGTACCCATTGTTGAATCTGTGTTACCTTGGACTAAGGAAAACCCCATGTTTCAGACCTAGTCGGTGCATTAGTTGTACCTTATGTTTCTGCATAAGGAATTGCCTCTGTGCCATGCTATATTTCAGTGCTACTACTCCTGTTTTGACTGTGGTAGATTCAGTGCCTACTTTCCCCTTATTTAAAATTCTTTCTACAGGTTTTAGTATCCGTAATGTATCTCCTTCTCTATGTTATACCTGCCTCCTCGTACAACACCAATTGTGTCTATCCCTGAGAATGAGTTCTTTGTGCCTATATCGAGTCACACTTCTGATCTTATTGTTGAGCTTGTGTCCAAAGATCCTATTTCTGCGCCTTCGTCGTTCGTGTCTGTCCCATGTGTGCAGGTTCCAGTTGCTGGCCTCTGGCCGTACTAGAGAAAGGAAATAAAAAAATTCAAAGCTCCTCTACTCCGGCAAAGAGAAAATCGACATTCACTAATATCATTAGTGATTCGAAAGATATGATGAGTGGAATATAATTGGGAAAAGCATATATAGCTGATAGTGTCAATTGCCACGTAATGCGGTAATTAAGTAAATAAGAGATCAATTAAAGCAAGTAAATAACTCTTATTGATCACAATGAAGTCCCTAAGTACAATCTACTTGGTTGCTCTGAGTACCGACTGACTGCGGTCGGGATTCTCAAACAACAACCTATCGATCGTCCAAAAGTCCCTCTCACTGTTGCTGTCGCGGGTATTTATAGCCGCGGAGCCGGAGACACAAATCCGGTCGTTCGGCATGCTTCCCACGTAGCAACCACGTGTCAACGTCCCGGGTGCCCTGCCTGTCAATGCGTAGAGCCGCCACGTGTTCCTCGTCAGCTCTCTCGCTAAAGGGCTACCGCTCGGTGGTCGACACTGTCGCTCGAGTAACACCCGGTCGGACCCCGACCGGGTTCTTCACAAGAAACCCGACCTGTTACCTGCAAAGACAAGAAGAAAAGGACGAAGGCACACCGGTCGGGGTAACGCTATGTCGGTCGGGGTATTCCCTACCAAGAGCCCCCCAGCCCGTGCCTTTTTGATCGTCCGGTAAAAAACAGGATGGGATGAAGAAGCCCAACCGTCAGCCGCCAAACCGACCGGCCAGCTGTCATTCCCTCTCCTGCCACGTGTCGAGGACTGCCGGCCTCTGCGACTGCAACGGTCGCCTCGGAATCAGCGCTGGTCGTGTCACGCAAGTGGACTTGTTTCCCGCCTAAATGCTCTCCTATAAATAAGCCCTTGAGGCCCTCATTTGAACTTTCTCCAATCTACTGCATCGATCGGTACCCTCAGAGAGCCCCGAGCGAAGCACTTCAGCAGAGCAGTCGAGCAAAGAACTTCTAAGCTTTTCAAAGCCAAGCACCTTCAATCGGTAAATTCTCAGTCCTTAGCTCTTACTTAGCGTTTACATTTGTGCGTAGAGTTGGTAGGTTATAACTAACTGTCCCGAACGGCCCGAGTCCCATACTAACCCCGACCGACCTTTAGGTAGATCGAAATGACAGACTCCGATAGCCAAAACGTCTCGATCGCGGATTACGACGAGGAAGTCGAGCATATCAGCGACGAGGAAGTGGACATTATGTCCTACTCACCCGAGGTCGTCCAACGACCAGAACAAGCCCCCGAGCAGGCCCCTGAGCAACGGGAATCATCGAGCCCGTCCGGGACATCGGGGTCCAGTTCTAGCGGGTCGGGGAGTTCAGATGGAGAAGGCGAGGAGACCTCAACGAGCGGACGAGGCTCCCCGGCCGAGGGCGTTAGGGAAACGCCGACCGGGGTGATTGGGGAACACCTGGAAACCGACCCTCAAGGGAACGATCAAGAAAACGTTCCCGAGCCAATCGAGGGAGAGGCAGCTGAGTCGGCCGCACCGGCGAACAACGGGTTCGAGTTCTTGAACAGCGAGAACGTCGAACAGCAGATGAGTCGACTGACCAAGGGAGAAGCGGCTAGGATTGCCGAGAGGCTCGGGGGTCGGGTGGAGTTTGACACAAGTCGGAAGCTCGGGAATGTCATCGACCGGCATCGGGAGAAATGGATCGGGATGCATTACGATTCCCTGATGGCCCCGATCGCCATTCCCTTTCCTCCTCTCCTGACGGCCTTCTTGGGGTACTACCAGGTCGTCCCGGCCCAGATCTGCCCCAACTCGCACAGGATTATCACCTGTTTTCCTCAGATCTGCGCTCGGCACGAAGTGTCTTGCACGATGGAGTTATTCAACTTCATCTATCAGGTCAAGACTCTCCCAGCCAGCTACGGAGGTGGCTTCTTGATGCTACAGTCCCGAACGGACATGTGCGCGATTGAAGGGCTACCCGGGAACAACAAGGGTTGGAAGAACCGAATTTTCTCGATCAAGTATGATCCTTGGATACTTCCGGTTGAGCGAGTTTGGAGCACTCATTATCGTAAACAAGTCCTGCCGGCCGAGACGCAGCCGCTCAAAGACGCAGTCGCTCGGATCTCGAGCGAGATTCATGAATACAATATTTTCCGGACGGCCGAAAGTCTCGAGGCGGCCGAGCTCCCGCCCCCCGTGTACGACCTGACGGAGAAGTACCTGCCCGTGCCAATGGGCGTGACGGTCGCGAAAGCGTCCAAACGGAAGAAGAAAGGTCTAACATCAACTAATTCCTCCCGATCCTAACTCCTCGAGAGATACCTCACTTCCCGA